CCAGATTGTGTCTAATTTGTAGGCATGCCATCATAATTGCTGATGAGTTGTTCACTTTATAAATAGCTAAGACATTTTGTGTGAAATTGAAAGTTAAGATAGATTACAAATGGCCTATCTAGCCTGCTGGGTAGTTAGAATATTGCAAAAAAGGAACTAGTACATTGTATTTAATAGTAAATGTAAATGTTAATAAATTATAAATTAATAAATTAACATTTATAGAAAGAAAACTAGGGCCTGGTAATAACTTTGGCTGAGTTCTGCCATACTTTTACATGGTATCTTATTGTAAGGTGAGAAAGACTGGGACTGGGAAACACGATTACCTGTTGGAATAACTGCAGCAGTACTTGTAAATCAAGTTTAAAAAATACATGTATTACTTAAATCACAAAAAGGATATAATTAACTCTTATTTTATGATTCATACACAGAAGTGTTACTCAGTGCTTCTTCGTGTGTACATAGTGAAATCCTGTTAGCCACAAGTAGTTGTGTGAGATGCACTATGACATCTTGCTGCACTATGACACCATAAATGTATACCAAGAAGCTGAATTAAAACTGCACTCTTACTAAATATGTACACCTGCTTAAAACACAACTCTGTTTTAAAAAATTATGCTTTACTTTGATTAAATATTATGTTAAATCATTGCACCAATTAAACAACTTGAACAGGACAGGTATTTAGATATTAAACACAGTTACATGCTGACATAATCAAGCAGTGTTCCAGTATGCACACTTGCAGTCTTGTTCCATTGATATGCACGTTCCCGCTTAGGTCTGCAAGGGCTTAGAGTGTCTCATTTCTAATTTGTGTTTCACAAGAGTGCTCACAAGCGCCCACAATGGACCCTTCTCTGAAGTCTGTATCAGAGTGGACTTCGCTAAAGGAAAGTACCCCCTTCCATTCGAAATGGTGACGTTTCATGTTTTAACCTATCAAATCTGAGAGATGTTGCCATGGAGAATAAAATATTCACATGTTAGTAAAATTAAACTTTTTAGTTATAAAATGTATAATATTTTATGTAAAAACAAATTTCATTTAGGCTGCTTTAGATTCATATGTATTCTAGGTACGTAGTGTTGAAATAAAGCTATTATTTCATAACCCCATTTTGACTGATTTGACTATTCATTTACCTGCAGTGTAATTATAAACTAAAACGCTAAATAATTAATAGTACAAAGCTGGTTTACTCTCTGCACTTTTGAAATCAGTCATGTTTAGCATGAATGAATACATTGTTTGACTTGAATTGTCATTTTTGTACTCAGACAGAACAAATGTACATGAAATGTATTTAATAGTACAAAAACAGCGGTATTGCCAAGTTTTCCTTAGTTTTCAAGATTCAAAATTTCTGTATTTGCCATATACAACATGTGTATTGGGATGTTTACATGTTCAGCTGTACCCAGTAATATAAGAGAAAAAAATAGGCACAAATAACAGACATGGACAATAAATTTAGACAATAGACGTTATACAGCCAAGACAGAACATAGTGCAAACAGTGCAGTACCTTAAAGTGCAGGTGCTAATATGAGTTGTTTATAATGCAGACTGTTTGGGGGAAGAAACTGTTTTTGAATCTATTCGTCAGTGTTCTGGTACAGCAGTACCTCCTACCAGAACCCAGGGATGAAAACAGATCTGGGCCAGGGTGAATTGGGTCCTTATGCTCGAGCCTGTTTTGGCAGCGGTCGAGACATATCCGGTTAATGGTGGGTAGCTCAGTCCCAATGATTTGGGAGCTACTATGTAATTCTATACCATTGTATAGGAATGCATGCTACGAACATGTCAGGACACACTTAATCGTATTACGGTACAAATCGGTGAGTGTTGTCTTGCTCATCCCCCACTTCCTTAACTGTCTCAGGAAGTGAAGGCGCTGGTGAGTTTTAGTGAGGATGGCAGCAATGTTCTCAGACCAGATCAGCCTCTCAGTGATCTGAAGGTCAAGGAACCTGAAGGTGCTGACAGTTTAGACTGGAGCCCAGTGAATGATGATGGGTGTGCGACATCCTTCGTGCCTCCTGACGTCTACTGTCTCTTTTGTTTTGCCGATGTGTTCTACTACCTTTTACTACCTCGTACACTTCTACTACCTCGTACCTGTAGGCGGTTTCATCATTGTTGCCGATAAGACCAAGTCCTGTGATGTCATCAGCAAACTTGATGATTTGATTGCCCTTAAATCTAGCAACAAAGTCATGTGCATATAGAGTATACAGCCGTGGGCTCAGGCAGCAGCCCTGGGGGGCCCCTGTGTTGAGGATCAGAGGGAATAAGGTTTTGTTTCCAATCCTCACCACTTGGGGTCTGCCTGTCAGGAAGTTCAGGACCCAGTTGCAGATGGAGTTGCTGAGGCCCAGACCCCCGAGTTTTACCACTAGTCTGCCTGGCACAATTTTGTTGAAGGCTGAGCTGAAGTCAATAAATAACATCCTGGCATAGGTGTTCCTCTTTACTTCTTCCATTTTGAGTCGAGTCCATTTAACCTGAACAAACATGTTAAATGTTATGTTATGAAACTTTTGCGAAAGAATAGACAAAATGGCATTCAGTTTAATTGAACTATAAGTGGAGAATGGATATTTTTTTAAAACAATTCTCTGCTGACTTGCAGTTAACTACTGGTAAAGGAGCAGCACTAAAGATGGAAACAAGAACGCACTTTGACCTGAGCTATAACCAGCAAATGACATCATATTACGCTCTTTATAATGGTGCACTCTCAGATGTTCACATACTTACACACTATGTCACCGAAGTGCAGACTTGAAGGAAGGTTTTAGGGCTTAGTGGGGCATCTGGAACACTTCCTTACTGTGACCCAGTATATGAAACTATTTTTTTCCATAATTGATTTAACATTTTAAAGTGTTCACTAAAATTAACTTAGTCAGTTTTACTGGTATCTGTTTTGTCTTTAAATTAAATTATTGTAACGACTGCGTGGTTTACAGAATGGAATGAAGCAGGAACACAGCTCTGACGTGGGTTGACAGCACATTATTAACACCGCTGAAGAGGGTTACACACAGGGACATAGGGAATACAGCACAACACTTAAACTATACACAGACACGAAAGGGAAGAGGGCATCTCACAGCCCCCATCTCGCTATATACAGTCCGCTAGTCCCACCCCTCAGGCGCCATTCCCAGCCCACCTTGCGTAGCCATCTACAGTGGACGGTGCAGCCGCTACAGTGTCCCACATGAGCACTACATGTACATTATTTAAAATATGAAGTTTTTCTGCAACTGTGTTGCATTGCGTTGCAACTTTTGTGATATCAGTTTTTGTCAGAGGTTTTGTGATCTCTTGATAAGCGTTTTGAAATAGGAGCCATCTAAGATGATGCTGGTCCTTGTGTTAGTTTATTTTCTATTGCAACCCTGGATTTCCAGTAATTTCCTGTCCAAAGAAAGTATTTTTACTTTCACATCTGTAGCAAATACAGGAAACATTGAGCATAAGTGTTTTTTTTCGTATCAATACACTATATGAGATCCATAAGGTAAATCATGTTGCTGCTGCAAGTCGTGTCCAGAATTCCAATCCAGTGTCACAGTATGGTGCCACGGGAAAGTGTGTTGTAGGAGTTGTCTTCCATCTGATGAGATGTTGAAATGAGATGCTGCCTATAGTTAATTAAGATCCCAAGGCTCTGTCTGTAATATTTAGGATTTTAACTCTGTTGTCATTAATTCTTTGTTCAATTTGATCTGCTATCTCATCTGCTATGCAATGGGATTTCTGCCAATATCTGTTGCCCATGTTGTTAACGTATGCTACAAAATTGCAAGGAATTATGTACAGAATAAATTCTGTCATAACTAGCATCTGTACAATCAGACATCAACAATGAGAGCGATGGGGTTGCTGTGTGCTTATCAGATATATTATGGTTTGCTGTTCTGTATCTGATACTCAGTGATTAATTACTTGGTGAACAAAATTGGTTTTGACTTTAAAAAAGGGGACATCTGTTCATAATTTTTATTTGTCTCAAATAAATACCCTGCCTTGCTCTCATTGCTTGCCGGGTAGGCTCCGGCTTCCCGCGCCACCGTGTGGTCTAACACGACATGGCATAATGCCAATTAAATAGATCAATCTGTTAACTTCTATTGATGGATTTTGTTCAAAGCAGTAAAAGTCTGATACAATTAGCTTTTGCCAACCATTTCTCAAATGACCACAAACATTTTTGACTGCTATTTTTAATGGGTTAAATCAAGTTAGTGGCTTGATATGGGATGTCCACCTTATCACCAGCTATCAGGTTATAACATTGTACAGAGTATTTATGAATATAATGTTTTTTTCCAGAAATTTTAAAATCTTGTTTGAAGTAATTGACAATAGTAATTTTCTTGTAACTAACTGATGTTCATGTTAACTTGTCCAGTTAACCTGTGCACAGATGAACTCTTTTGGGTTAGTCAGCTCTTTGTGTGGCAACGCCATCTGATCCAATGCCCTTGTTTCTGTGACTGATTTCTGCAGATTAATTTTCTTAGACCTTTGGTTACTTCTGCATCGTCGGCATCTATTGTAGATTTCATTGGATGTATTATTAATATCTACAGGAAAGACAGGACCCTTGGCTCATGAGCCTCCTGTAAACACAGAAGGTGGAAAATTATCTTTGAAGCATACAAACAGGGAGAAATCGGTTTAAAAAAATAACAAATAATAAACTGTTTTCTAGCAGTTCTCTATCAGAATTAAGAAATCACTAAGGGAGCAAAAGTGTGCACGTCTGCAGCTTTGGCAAGTACAACTGTAACTGAGTATAAGTATTGCTTTAATGAACTTTCATGTGTTTCATATGATATACATAAGGACAATTGAGTAAACAGACACTGTGTGAGAGAATGCTAAAAATGTAAATTGTCCAGCAGAGCCATTATATCACTCAATGTCTCCACTCTGACTTCATCTGCTATCTTCTGTTATCCTTCCACAGAGGGAGAACCGCCGGCTGCAGGAGGCTAGCATGCGTCTGGAGCAGGAGAATGATGACCTTGCTCATGAGCTGGTGACCAGCAAGATCGCACTGCGCAACGACTTGGACCAGGTCCCTGTCGCCACATTACTGCAATGCTTTTTTGCGAATGTGTATAACAGGACAGGACTTGGGCAAAACACAGCAAACATTGCAAATCAAAGTGACAAAAAGTAAAATAAAAGCAATTAATATCAATGCATTTCATATACTGTACCATCTCCAAACATATTATTTGCAATGTAGGTTATTTGCTTATGTGGATATTGATATACACATAGAAATTGAATGTTTCTAAATCATTTTTTAAATTATTTTTTTAATATTGAAGTACAGTATGAATATGAGCTGAATATTACTAAACTGTTCACTGGTGTAGGTGTGTTGTTTACTCCCCAGTGGGTCACTTACTGAGCTTCTGTCATTGGTTTCCGTAAAATATTATTTAATGCAATGCAGCCCAAAAAGACTGCTGTCCATAGTGTACATGCAAGAGTACGTAGATAACACTAATGGTAAACATGCATTGGAAAAACTTCCAAATAAATATAGTTTCTAGTGTGGGCATCTTGTTGGTGGCTGCAGTCAGTTTGTGTTGGATTTTAAGTGTATAAGGCTGCCTTTGGGCAAACTCAGGACCTGCTAGGTGTGACCCTGATATGCTGCTCTCCTTTCAGGCAGAGGACAAGGCGGATGTCCTGAACAAGGAGCTGCTCAACACCAAGCAGAGGCTGGTGGTGATGGAGGATGAGAAGAGAAGACAGGAAGAGGAGACTGCCCAGGTAAGGGAATGTGAGGGAACCCTGGGAAAAACCCTTCAAAATCAGCATTCACAGCTGGCATATTCCTTTCTGCACCTCCTATAGAGCTCACTCTACTAACAGGGCAGATGGCAGCTCTTTGTTTTCTGCAAGTTGCATAGACTTTCTGTACAGATCACAGTGTACATTGAAAGTGCTTTTTGTGCAGCAGTAATGACCATTCGTGGAACACATGACAAAAGTTTATTTTCCCTCCCCTTAAGTTTCTTACTAACATATCCTTAATGGTAAGTACTCTGATCTCCAGTGGATGGTTCCATCTGTGCTTAGCATCAGAAGAGGTATATCTGTTAACTCTGTCCTGGTGTATACTGTTAAAATCTTCTGACTACAAAGGAATAAAGTAAAAACTGAGGAAACAATGAGGAGTACAATGCTTGATACAATACAGTCAGTCTCTATTTTAAATCACTTGTTCACGTACAGTTAAAGACAGTATTGGTACTCTTGAAGACATAAAGTACTTTGGTGTTTTAATTGCCACTTCCAAGAATGAGTGTTGAGCCAAATAATTATAGTTCATTAAGAAACTGACTCTGCAGCATCAGTTGCTCAATTATAACGGTATTATTAAAACTGAGATTATTATTACCAACACTAATTCTGTGACAGTATCCCTGGCCTGGTACTCAGAACATGTGCCTGGCAGACAGCTGATGTCTGTACTGACATCTTCAACCTGTCCTTGGGCCCAGTCTACTGTACCAAGCTGCTTCAAGACAACCACCATCGTGCCAGTACCAAATAAATCAGCACCCACATGCCTGAACAACTACCGCCCTATTGCACTCACCCCCATCATAATGAAGTGCTTTGAAAAACTACCTATACCACACATTAAGGCCAGCATCCCCAAAACACTTGATCCTCACCAGTTTGCTCAAACATCGCACAAAGCGCTCCACAGAGCATGCAATCTCTATAGCTTTACACACCATACTAACCCACCTGGATAAAAGGAATACCTATACAAACATGCTGTTCATTTACTTCAGTTCGGCATTTAACACCATCATACCCATAAAATGTGCTACCAAACTCAGGGCTCTAGGTCTAGATACCACCCTCTGTAGCTGGATCCTAGACTCCCTCACCAGCAGACCCCAGCACCTGAGAGATTAACGAGAAACACTTTTCACTGTACTATGCACCCATGTAAGTATAATAACAAAAAAAGCTGAATTGAATTGAATTGTGCTTTTCCTCTATTTCAGCTTAAGGAGGTGTTCAGAACAGAACTGGAAAAAGCTGAATCAGAAATCAAGAAAACCACAGTCATCATTAGCGAGTACAAGCAGGTAGAGACTGCTCATTAGCTATAATCCTTTTTCCCTTCTTCTATTTAAGTTATTGTAAAAGTGCTTTAAAAACCTTAAACTGCAAGTGGCCATTTGTGGAGAAGTTATATAGGATACAGACACAATATTATGAAATAGCTCTTATTTTTTAGTTGTTAATTTGTCAAAATAACTTATTAATGATCTCAATATAGAGTCCCAGAAAAAAACTTCACTCCAGGGAGTGATGCAAACTTTATATTCTTATTTTTTATATTCTGTCATTAGCACAGATGGGTTCTTTCTTGGTACTGAGTTGACCTGACTCACCCCACCCTCTGTTTTCTTGTATGTCTTAAAGATTTGTTCTCAGCTCAGCACTCGACTAGAGAAGCAGCAGGCCGTCACTAAGGAGGAGCTAGACATTGTGAAGGTGAGAGCGAAGGCCAAGTTCCATGAACAAGTAGCAACTTGTGGAGACCTTCCTGTATTATAAAGAATCCCACCACCTGCTTTCATATTTGGGATGTGACCAACAGGTGCAAATACTCTCAGTGAACTCTGAACCTTTCTTGTGCTTTGCATGTATATCACCCCTGTTTCTGTTAGCAAATTTGTGAAACATTTTGAAAACTTTTTTAAAACACTTTTTAAAATAAATTTAGTTATTTCTGATGTATAGCTTTTCAGCGTTCCACATACCTAGGACACTGATTAAATGTGAAATCAAAGACCCAAACCTTTGGTAACCTTTCATCTGGCTGAGTTATTGTCAGTTGCCTTAGGCCTTCTTCATTGAAGCTAAGAACCTGCTACATGTCTACATTGACAACTGCCTTGATAACAAACAAGATGTACTCACTTCTCCTGTTACTTGGAAGTGTTCCCAAACTAAAAAAGTCATTTCTTAAACAGTTTCCATGTAACAAGGGACAGTCTGCTGTAGAAATATATTAAAGTAAAAGTTTGGACTTGCCATATTTTTTTCCTCACACCCTCTGAATTTGAATTTCCAATAACTAACCAGCTCTATCCGTTTATACCACCCAGCATTGAATAAAGGAGATTGTATGTGCAGATGTCCTCTGAATTGTGTGCTGTCTGTCTGCTGTTTTTTCACACTATATCTCCAAACCATAAACACTAGAGCTAAGGATGTAGGTCTCACAGGTACTCAGTGACAAAACCCAGACTTTAACCCATGACCTCTGATCTTTTGGGACTTACAGAGGACTTCACTATAGTTTCAAATGGTTCTCAATGATTTTCTCAATTCAGTTTCACATTCTGTAAAGCTAACTGTGTAAAAACAAAATAGAGGTCCAATGGAGTAAATTTGACAGGGTGCATATGTCAGTGTGGATAGCTGTGTCATGTTGTGACTGTGATGGCAGGAATCCAATCAAGCTGGAGTCATTAAGCAGTCATCAATATGGTAAGTACTCAACACTGGCCTTCTCCCATCTCCACCCTCAGAGCAAGGTGATGGCATGCGAGCGCTGTCGGGAGATCTTCAGCAAGGAGGGATCCCTGCAGCTGCCCGCCATCAGCCGTGACAACCGTGACCAGGATGTGGATGAGGAGAAGGACTCCCTTAAGAAACAACTGAGAGAGCTGGAGCTGGAGCTGGCCCAGACCAAACTGCAGCTAGTGGAGGCCAAGTGCAAGATTCAGGTAACCCAGGAAGAGGTTGGCTGGTGGTCACAGAATACTGTGTTTACTCCTTCTATTTAAAAACTCTGTTCCAGAGAATTGACATAATGTCTCACTTTCTCTGAATTGGTGAGAATCTATTGGAGAAAACTTAAATTTAGAATACTTAAAATTTCATTGATTTCTTATGTCAATTATTTTTTTAATCATGTAGGGTATAACTTTTTCAGCAGAATATAGCCTGAATTCCTCTTTTGCCAAAATACAAAGAGCTCCCTCAGCCCGAACTGGCAGCTAATGTTACTCTGTTCCCTAGAGAACTCCACCTCCTTTCTCAAAGGAAAAAATGGGCTCCCATCTTGAAAGTGAACAGTGTTTCTCCCTCACTTGTATAAAGCCGGAAGCAGATTCTCTGTGTTTGGCAAGTTGACCTGTCTTCCTAATCCTGGGAAATGCCTACACAGTATAATAATGTTGTGTGAGCGTTAAACATCTAATACTCGCTTCAGTGCTGACCCTTGCTACTTGGTTTAATCAAGAGTCAACTTGTCTGAGTCGCCTTGCCCCATGCGCTTAACAAAGCAAGTGACCACACATGTTGTAAATACAGAACAGAAAAGACCAGAAGACAATGGAGGAGAGGAACCAAAAACTCCTTCTCTAGTCGATTGTACTTGGGACCAGCTTCACAGAGAATTGCACCCACTGATGAATGCTTGTACTTACCGTCTCTAAATTATCCTTAAACTGCATTCTAGTAGCAACAAACAGCTCAGTGTTAGTTACTATAGTTTATTTCTATATAATTTTGCTGCATATGGCCTGGTCCTGGTATAACCTCATCTGGGTTTGTCCTTTAGGACAATTAATTTTGTATAATGACACAATGAAACAGGTGAATTCTTGTGTCTCAAAACATTGTGTTTTTACGTCTCAAGCTATGTGTTAAGAATGTAAGGTTAATTAATCTATTACTCTTTTTTTAGGAGCTGGAACACCAGAGAGGAGCTCTCATGAATGAGATCCAGGCTGCCAAAAACTCCTGGTTTAGCAAAACCTTGAACTCTATTAAGACAGCCACAGGTAACCAGCCCCCCCCTTCTCCAAAAGAGGGAGTGTAGCAGCTCCCGCTGGAGTGAATAGCATGAGTCAGTTCTGGACATGGTGAGAAAGCCCATAACCACAGGGGCTGTGCACTCTGTGGAAGAGGTGATGGGCAGGGGGAGCGAGGCTGAGCTAACATAGGGATCACAAGAACACTAGTACAATGATTCAGTGCAGTACTTCCTTTCTCAAACAGGAGAGCTCAGGTCAGATTGGCATTGGATCTGTCAATAGCTTAAGGAAAATACAAAGGAAGCCATTATCGTCCTTGCTATAAGGACGTATGGCTGCTGCTCAGCTAAAAAATCAGACTGAAAGCACTTGTGTTCATTTTATTTTCCCAAAACACTTTTCATCTCTTCTTTGTATCACTCTTTACGCAAGCTAGTGGTTGAGAAAGGGAGTACTACATTGTGAATGCACTGCGAGATGTGTTGAAAAATTGATTATCTTGTGTTGTTTTCTATATAGTTTAAATATATTGGTCAATTCTAAATATATAACTAATCATTTTTAATCATGTACAGTTCTATAAACACGAAAAGTGCTTTCTTATGTTTTACTGTCTGAATTTGAATGCATCTCTATAGCCTTTGTGGACTTACTGAAGCACACTACATATGAGAACTGGTGCTGTCAAAAACAAAACAAAAGATATATTCCACCTATTCCACATTCTTTTAGAAAATGTGCTTGACATTCAATCAATTCTCTTGTCAATCATCTCCTTATGTTTTATTCCTGCATTTAAATGCAATGCCATTCATGGGTTGTTGGTGGGCAAATATATATACGTCAATCCTGTTATCTAAACACTGCCCAATGTTGTGCCAAGATAAAACTTCTTAAATAAAAAAAATATTTTATTGTACTGACCTTTTATGGTTAAATGAAAAGTGACTCTGCAAAAGACATGTCCAGATGCAGTTTTAGCAGGTTTTCATTTTAGCCAAGCTCTTAATCCAATTATTACAGCTACATCAGTTTAACAGCAATCTTGCAAGCTTTTTTTCCCCAAAACAATTCCAATTTCCACATTCTACTATTTCTAAAGCAGTACTTGGTTTATTATCAGTAGTATAAATATTATACTGAAACACAGAATATTAAAATTCCAACAAATTTTTTAAATCCCATGCCAAGCAGTTCCAGAGAAGGACGGTATTGAACATAGGCTTGCCACTAGAAGCCACCAAAAAACAGACTCAAAGACATTTAGAAAGATTCCTGCATTTTTGTACTGTAGCTTAAGGAACCTTAGCACAACAAAAATAATGGAGCTTATACAAAAATGCCAGTGATGTTTTATGACTATTTTGAAGGTTTCAGAACAACCTCTAAGACTTAAAGATATTCTTCCTATAAACTAATGACTCAGCCTACCACAATTCAGAACATTTTTGTTGATATGTTGTATCTACGATTTTTCATTCAATGCAAGTAAGTACTTCAAACACTGTTAACATTATAAATAGGAATTTTGGTGACTGAAAAAGTCAGAGGTGTTCGAATATTTTTTAAAGCCACAGTCCATGAAAAGGCAAGCAAATCAATCAACAAAAGAAATACTGTAGCGGGAACTGTCTCTTGTGGAATCCCCTCCAACCTGCCAAGTGTTTGGTGTTCAAAACTGCATAAAAAAGACACGTTTTGCATTTGTGTGTACACTTAGCTTGTGTTATGCAGGCTTAAGGGATAAAAGACAAATATTTAGCCAATGTATTTGAAATGGGAAATTAATCTGAAGAATCATTAAAGTATTTTGGTGCTTTTTCGAAAACTCAGTGGTAAAAACAAGATTTTAAATTTTGTGGAACTTCTATCTACTCGAACTACTGTTTAAAAACCTTAATGGCCACAAGTTGCTTGGGGATAGTATTCTTAGTTGTCTGTCATTTCTTTGGTTGGTTTAATAGTTGTGCTTTCACACAAAACATTTCTTAAAACTTCAGACTCCCTATATATATATACATACATCCAACTGGATGCAGTGTTAAATCCAGCAAATTGAATTAAATAGCTCAGTTGTTTGCTAACTGTGTCATAAGCACTTGGTATGGCTTGATTCTTAGTTCTGCTACACTGTAAAAGACCAGTAATTCTCATTCCATTTTCCTGACTCCAGTCAGTAATAACATACATGTACAGACCATTCATGCCACTTTTGAGCATCAGTGGACCTGTGTTTTTTGGCTCATTGTTTCAGCACTAGAATGCAATTACTGTCACAGTATAAACCAGTCTTAGCAGGGCTTATAGATCCCATCCATCATCAGCGATTTACAGTGGTAGACTGCATCTCAGGTATGCAGTTAGTACAAGTCGTAGTTAATTCATAAAAATTTAAATCAGAAGGTGCTGCGGTTCTCAAGCGCCACTTCTGCTGCCATGTGGAGCGTTAGCAGATCATACAACCCTTTCCAGAGAGCAGGGGATTCCAGGAAAAGATAATTCAGTCTAAACTAGGTTTACGCTTATAACGATGCAAACTAGTACAAAAAAAGTGTATTTTGATCTGGGACTCAGAAGCAGACCACAAGTGTCAGGTTGGGCATAAGTGGTTATTACTAAACTCTACTGATTTTTATCAGTGACCATTTGACTCTTTACCTTTTTACTTATTTTCTTTTGCTGAATGTCATACTGTATATTAATGTGTCCTAAGATGTTATGAACAAAAAATATTTTTCAGAAACCTACCGTTTAATAACCAGTTAAAACTAATGAAGCTAACTGGAATCCTGCTTAATAATGGTGTAACTCAGTATGCAATGTTATTGCAAGATGTTGGTCTTTTTTGAGTTGGAAAATGTTTTTCAGATGGAGAAATGCTTTTCATGTGTGGGTCATCTTCACATATATTTTTGTCTGTTTAAAAAGTGGGGCAGTGAAGTAAGAAATACAGCATTAAGGTTCAAATGGTCTCTTCTGTACCTGTTCTGCTCACATTAATAAACTTCAGATTTTCTGTCTCCCAGTGTGAATGTCTGAATATAATCTCTGATAAGGATAAGATCACTTTACATTATTAGAATTAGTTGTATTTTTCTGCCTGAAGAATTTTATCTCAATCCTAAGAAATGTTTAGTGTACAACTATGACCCTGACCAAGGTCTACAGTTTTAATCCATGACAGTATGGTTTTCACTCCTGAAATAAACAAGGTACAGGTTTATAGATGGTTCTGTGGAAATGCAGGGAACTTGCAGTGCAGCTCCTAGATACAAACAGCACCTTAATTAGTTCAAGTAATAGGTTTATTCCATGCTGAAAAAAAAGAAGAAAGAGAACACAACGTTTCGGCCGTGGAGCCTTCTTCAGGTGTGAAGAAAGGCTCACACCTGAAGAAGGCTCCACGGCCGAAACGTTGTGTTCTCTTTCTTCTTTTTTTCAGCATGGAATAAACCTATTACTTGTTCCTTTGCAGCCTACGCATGCTGACGCAGCTACCCACCTTAATTAGTTTTGCTAATTATCCATTACATTTAGCTGGAGACAAATTCTGAGCTGCAGTGGAATAGAGGAGTCTCAAGAAAAGCTAATGTCTAACAATACAGGGCCCATTTGCGGACAACATTTACAAACATTCTCTACCTCAAAAGCAACACAAATCTCTTAGGATTCTAATGGATGTGTTACTATAACAATATATTTTTCCATATTGTTATGACTTTGTGTCTCCTATTTAAAAAGGACAGTTCCTTTAAAAAGAAATTTTCACACAAATTTCACTTAAATAGCTATTTTGAGTAAACATAGTCAATCACTGTACATCACCAGTATTGAGGCTTGAATGTATAAATGTATAAGAGATTGGCCAAACCAATTAGTTTTTTAGGACTTATTTAGTTTCTGATTGAAAAGTACTTGTATAACCTACTGTATATACAGTATCTTATATATATATATCCTACAGCCTGTCCTTGGCTATAGTTTTTCTTTACCTACAGCATTCTGCTAAAATTGGGTCATTAATCTAGTAAAACAAAACTTTACTTATAAGTCAGATGAGTTTATAACAAATGTTCAGGAGGTATGACAATTAACCACATCAGTCAGTGACTGTGATCATTTCCAACGTAATTTCCTCACATTAATTAAAACTAAATACTATGTGAAATCCCCTTCCCTCCCTCACATGTCTTTTGCATCTTACCCCCACTCCATCTCTACTTTTGCAGCTTTCCCTTGTCACTATTCACTCCACATGAAGGTCTAGCCTCCTCATCCTACAACTAAGAGGTTGGCTCTCAAACAAGCCAGATTTATTTGGACTAAAACATTCTATAAACCTTTCAATACAATTAGACCTTGGGTGTTGTTATTGCTAGTGAACTTTTTGCACACACTGCCTGTTAATTTGTTTCCAGATCGAACTTTATATCATGAAGAAAAATGATGCTAGGAAAGCACTATTATTATTAAATATTTTTTAATTCATTAACTTTATAACAAGCTATGAGCTGATTTCAGGAACATAATTTAATTGAACCTAATTTTAATTCATTCAGTGTGTGTTTAAGGCTTTTTCTAGTATCTATTTTCTATTTTCTTCTTCAAGGGAAATGGAGATTTCTCCCATTTACAGTATTTACAGTTGTGAAAGTCTCTCCAAAGAATTTTCTTTTTCAAGCCATTGAGGACACTATATTCTGGTCGTTAATTCTTACCAGTTTCAAAAAAAGTACATTACACTTCAGCATCCCGCACTCAGGTTCAACTCCCACAATGACACTATGGCACAACAGCCCCTGGCCCAATCCCACTCTGCTCCAGCTCAGCTATCACCGACATGTGCTTGAATTCTGCAGGTCTGTGGTTGAACGTGTCGACCAGTTGGAAGGTTTCCTTGCGCTTTGCACCATAGAACAGCTGCACCTGATTGGCTAAGCACTGAGCCTGGTGAACACCCTGGAGAGATAAACAAAATGACAGGGACATCTGACTGAGGATTTTAATGAGTTTAAATGAAAAAAAAAAGTGTCATTTAATTTACATTTCATTTCAAACATAGGATTATATGTCCCCAAGAAGGGTTTTACAGAAAACAAAAATCAGTTTTTTTTCCCCACCTTCACTGGCGTCAGTCGTCTGGGGACATTTATTTTGGCTGAAGATTCTAAATGAGTCCCTGTGCAAGTCAGGACCAACACAAAACCATTTACGATTTGGAAACAAGTCAGGTAGAGTACTGCACGTTATGTCTGTGCTAGTCAAGCTACTGAGCACCAGGTATACTGAGGATTTTGGCAATATAGTTCCAGAGTCTCAGTAAACTGGTAATGTGCAAACTTTACCAAGACTCTTCCAGCCCGCCCAAATGCATTAAAAGATACCGATTTTGCTTGTGACTAACCTGCAATGCTTCAGTGTACCATCCATAGTGCCACAATATAAAACCACCTACATAAAATAAGACTGTCCTGAGCTCTGGCTGTCCCTTACCATGCACTTAGGGTCCATCTCTGCTGTCATAAGGACAATGCCCTTTTCTTTCTCAAACTCTGGGTAATGGTAAAGGATGAGCTGGCTGGGAGCATTCTCCCCTAGGGTCTGAAGAAAAGGAAGAAAATCAAATTTAGCAAAGAAGGGAACCTGCCTTTCTACAGTATACAACAAGGATTCTTTTGCAGCAGAATAATACAGCATCTACAGGACACGATACACATGTTGGGTGCCCCCGGTACACATGTATCAAAGGTGAAGTCATACCTCCAGCTGTTTGTTAAAAAAACATATATTCATTAAATAAACACCTTTCCTAGTCCAAATGATCAAATGTTAAACACATATTTATAATCCTGAAAGCATAAAGGATTTTGGTCCACTATATTATTTCAAAATGTTTTAAAGTGTTTTAATGGTCATCATAAACATCACAAAAATGATTACGTTCTGCTGGTGGAAAGGGGTATGTCAGGGATTCTTTGAAGATGACAAACTGATTATCAGTCTTGTATTGCCAACTCACCTGTACATTTATCAAGGAAGTGAAATGTAGCTCCAAGCCAGACCACTGGCCAAGGAAGAATTCGTAGCCTTCCTTCTGTGGCAATGCATACAGAAACTGCCAGAAATGAGGCGCACAAATCAGAAATTCTGTCCTTCAGTAGAGAATCGTCCATGGTTCAGAAACAGCACAATAGTACCATACTGCTCTGGAGTGATATGAAAGCCAACACGGCATACATACTAAGAAAGCAATAAAACTAACTATAGTCAACAAAGGCTGCTAAATGGTTTCATTTTAAGGGGGTTTGGACCACCAATTTAATTTTTTTTTTTTCATATCAGCCTAACTGTGGAAAAGCAAGTTAATTCAGGACATAAATGGAACAGTACAGGAGCAATAAATGAAAGTACAGGAGCAATACAGGAGAGATGTACTAAATGTACATGTGTGGTAGGTCCAGATCTTGCACACTCAACCTTATATCCTCAGGCTTCAGATGGGGAAGTGATGCCTCACTCACAAAGAACACTGCAAACCCACAGGCATTCAGCCAGCTACAGGGATTGCTGCCACACAGCAAGCAGGCTACTCCCTAGCAGCATCAAGTTTACTCCACCTCCTCATCAAATGGCAAGTAGTGCACCACTTAGAGAACCTACTGATTTTTAACCAGCAAGTTCTGCACTTAGGAACCAACCTGCAGTCGAGTATAGGCCTTATTATTTCAGGTGAACCTTTATTTAAATAGATAATTGCAAAAAAGATAAATGACAAATAATTTTACCTCAAGTTACTACCCTAAGTCTCAAAAGGGCCTCAACACCTCTCTAAATTTTAATAATTAAATTGTTCTCTTTGAATCTACATGTGAGGAAGGCTGACTCATCTGGGAATAACAATAAGTGTCCTGAAGACAGTAAGATCGGCAGAAAAGTGCAAATTGTAGCTCTTGGGTAAGAGAGCAACTCTCCCTTTAGACTCATAAGGATAGCCGAGTCTTTTTCCTCACAAAATTAACAAGTGGTGGTTTAAAAGGCTGCCTAGTAAATCACCTATTTACACAAGTAAATTTGTGGATCAGTTATGCAGCACAGACCCAGGACAGTCGAGCTCATTCCATAAAAAGGAATCCATTTTGTGAACAGACCAAAGATCAGATCTAAATCTCACTTAGGGAAAATTACCTTTCTTTAGATAAGCTGCTCTGGTTTAATACTGTAGACCAAATTCTATGTTATAATGAAAACCCAGAAATCAATTTATAGTGTTTATAGCAATTGGGGTGAAGCCCCGGAAAATTTTCTAATCATTTCAGCATTGAATAAACCTTTATTTGTTCCTCTACATACATTTACAGTGTTACGTATATTACTGTGGCAATAATGAAAACATACAGCAAGACCACAACATGCTGGAACAAGGTAACACTGAAATGGATCCCAACTGAAAAAAGATTGTAAGGAATTCCTGTAAAGCAACAAAGATTGTCAGCAGGTTGGAAGGTACATGCTGGGTAACAAGATAAATAGTGAAGTATATGGTAAATCTGTAGGCTATATCAACAACACATATAATTTAATTATGCTCATGATCTGTTAGATACATGTTATTATTTTTTCTGTGGTTATTAATTTGTTGATCACATTTTAGACTTTGGTGGTAGAGAGGGGTGCTTTCTAAGGTGACTATCAGAAAGAATGGGGAAGCAATTTAGTGCTGTTCAAAGCACAGAACATGAGGACATACAACCACATGGTAGTGAAATACCAGGAGAGAACAGGTGAATCAATGTCGGCTTTCCATTATTAAAAGTACTGCACACTGCTTTTCTTTCAATTAACATGATAATTAGAGACAAAAATACTTACTGAAGGGCATTTCTTTGCTCTTCTGAATATTGTTTCAAATATTCCCCCCTGAAATATAATTAATTTAATTAAATTTGATATGAAGTAATTCAAAATGTTGACATTGTTATATGGATGAGTAGGTCAAAAGCCAGACTTAACACACATAAGGACCAAAAGTCTATTATTTAAAAAAACATCTCAAATGTTACAATGGTAGTCCTCCATTCAGTCCATCATGCTTATTGGGTTGCTAGTATTTCACCAGGGATCTGTTTCAAGGAAACCAGTGAATCAGCTTCTGCATCCTGTCTGGCTAATGGTGCCTCCTGCAGTCTGTCCTTAATATACTTGGACATCTCTCTTTGTGCATGAGCTTCCTTTAAAGAATGATTACAGCTCTATTATAGAGGTCATGGCACCTGCAACGTTAGGAAATGCCTGTAAGTCTTTGAAAAATGTTTTTTAAAAACAAGCCCTTTGCAAAAACAGCAATAAAGCTTACATGACTGGCTCGTGTAGAGTTTTGTCATGTTTAGTTGTACCTAAACACAACTGAAGTGGGTCTCATGTTTGAATACAATGCACAAGCAATGGTGGGTTACCAGATAAGTTTCTGAATGTTCTGAAATTAAGTGTGATGACACTGTCATATATTAGTGCAACTAATTGTGCAACTAATCTCTGCACCAGTTAAAATAGCAGACAGTGAGATTGTTTAATTATCCAAAGATATCTTGCAAGATGAGTCTTACAGAAAGACAACTTGGAGATGTACAGCATACTGTGCCAGTATTGTGGAAAACTCTAAGCAATAAAAAAAAACAAAGTAAACTTTTTTCATTCATTGCCATTAGTTAACAATTTTTTATAATTTTAAGGAAAATATTTTCAAATATTTTTAATGTTTAGTAATTTAAAAGGCTTGTGTTTGTAGTGTAATGCAGCAGTATAATGCTGCATTCATCAAGTTGGCGTCCAACTTATTCAAAATGTTTCAGCATTACCTCCAAGCATGGGAGTTTTTTGCACTTTTTGCAATATACTGAGAGACATTCTCTTGCTTTTCTTTTTCAACCCCACCCACGACACTCAGACAGCACAGATTAGCACTAAGCACTCACCAACTCACTCACAGAGCTTATAGTTGTCGAGAAAAAAAGCACTTACAGGAATTACCGCACAAATTGTTTTTTTAGTTGCAAAATATTCTTTCCATATCTGGAAAAGAAAACAGGTTAACAAGTGTTTAATGTATATATAAACTAATAACCTAAACATTTTTAAAACTTAAAATGTTTTTAAAAACTTAAAAGACAGACAGCCTAACACCCATAAGACCTTCTAAATTTGGTGTTTTTAAAAGATCTCTCCCATGAGAGACCAGAGGCTACTGAGACAAATACAAAAGTACAGTCTCACCTGGGCAATCTCTTCACCAGTCTTCTCTTTGACCATGTCAATATTGAGGATAGAGTCCAAAGTCTAAAACAGCATACATATAAAATATTACATGATTAAACGTAAAGAGACTACGTTTACTTTAAAGCCACATCATTTCTTTGTGCTTTCTGAGAGTTTGGCGCAATTGTTCTAATCTGACCTTGTGGCATAACAATGATGGCCCTGATTACCAAAATCCCTGGAAACATAGGTATTGGAATGAATGTTACACATGACCCACGAAACAAATCACTACAGTACTTTCTTACTCGATAGGCATCTCCCCAATTACCTTATCCTTGGTGAAACCGTCACTCCCAGGAGCCCCTTTGCTTCGCTTCTCTAACTGAAAAGAGGCAAAGCAGTACAACACAGAAACAGTTCAATCAAACACATTCCTCAGCAGCCTTTTCAAACACAGCAAAAAGCAAAAACATGGCATAGAGAGGGGAAATCCAAAAATGAAAGTGAGATTCCACCAATACCCAAAAATCTTGTTTCTTGGCATTATTTGACAGCTCCCATGTTCTCATTCTCATCTCACTAAAGATACATCCATTGACTTTCCTCAAGTTTCAGTCCTTTCAGAACAGGCATACTACATACAGGTCACTCCAGGCATTACCAGGATCCGGATACAAACCTCAGCTTCTATCAGTTTGATGAACTCAGCCTGTTTGCAATGACCAACAGGCAGCTTTTCCCCCTCCGCCCTCTTCTCCAGACGGGATTTGTATTCTTCAGGTTTGGCTCTATGAAATACAAAACTGAGTTACTAACATGACACCCAAAAGTAAAATTCATTCCAATGTTTCCAGTTCAGCAATCTATTCTAACTTCTAGAGCTCCTAGAACCCTTTGATACCAGGCACAGTAGATATCCATAGACAGTAAATAATTCAAATACAGGCTAAAATAAATACAAATGTAACCAGGCATATTTTACATTTTTACTTGTTGCCAACAAAAGCAGTATTTTGGCAGCTCCTAGTATCACTTATTTAAAAGGAAGAAATACAGTAGTAATTAGTCAACAATAAATGAGAACAGATTCATAACCTAATCATTATGAGAAAACTGCTTATTCTGCTGAGCTTCGTGGCTGTCCAGAGTCTATCCCTGAAACACAAGGTACATGGCACAAGACAGGACCACACCCTAGACCGGACACCAGTACATTGCAACTTTCAACACAGAAGCAGCTGAGAAACACCAATCCAACCACCCTAGCATGGATGTCATCATAATATGGAGAAAATAATTCATATTATTTTTTATATTTTTATTTTACACCAGACTTATATTTTAATACAATTTCAATGCTGCCTAATAGTTTTTAAGTACCGAGGTGGATCTCTTAAAGCATAATAGTGAAATCATGTCAGCTTCACAGGTCAATTAAATGACACAGATTATCTTAGTCTCCAAGAAAAGACTTAACATTTTTATTTTTATTTTAAAAACTCCATACAGAACTGAGAGAACTGTTTCACACGGGGGGTTTATAACAAAAATCTGCTTTGAACACTGTTATTTACAATACTTATTGCTCAAAAATAGTCAAATCATAATCCATCACATCAAGATACTGCAAAAGAGGAGACAGTTGAAAAAAATCTGTTTCTTGCAAATTACTCTTGGGAGGAGCAACGTTAACTTTAGACCACAAAATCTGATCATCATTTGAACGTCTAACTTTGTGTTCAATAAAATAAAGTATAACCATTATATTAAAAAAATCACAGAAGAGGCATTAATAGCTTTATTGTAAAATATATGTGATCTAACCATGTCATTACAAGTTCAATGTCAGTGGAGTACTTACACTTGCAATTGATGTAGTTTCTGGTTATTACTCAATAACACAATTGTCACATATTTAGACAAGCATCTCGCTAATCTTCAATAAATTTGATTCAAATATCACATATCTATATGGTATAAATAGCATTACAAGTAGTTTTGTGCATTGACTTATTGCCAATAACTTTGATTTATCATAGGATTGGACTAACAGCAAGAAAATAATCAAGATAAAGTTTGATTCTCTTGTTGGGACCAGTGTCGTTCTGAATTCAGTATGCAGTGGAAATCTGTATCCCCTTTCAAAGTGTGCATGTGCAATGGAAATCAGAGGTATGATTTGTCTGCCTGCTCATGCACACATTTCGTATCATTTGTAGGAAATGCGCAATTCTAAATTTCAGATTTACTTAAGTATTACAATTATTTGCATGTCCCAAACAAAAACAAAACAGTCACATTGTTTGCGCATAGTAAAGTCGCAGTTCCGAATTTCAGATTTACTTAAGAATTACAATTATGAGAAATGGGGTGTTAATCAGCAATTATGTCTTCCTATGAATTTTGTTTTGATGTGCATTACAGAAACTTACTCATGGAGAGGAACCAAAACATTAAAAGACATTGTTCCAGAACTCCTGTGGTTTGTTCAGATGCAACTCTGCAAACCTAGAGAAGGGGCTTTCTCCTGGTTACCCTTCCATGAAAGCCATACTTGTTCAGTCGTTTTCTGATCGTACTGTCCTGAACTTTAACATTTAACATGTTAACCAAGGCCTGTAGATCCCTAGATGTATAGTAGCTCTTGGTTCCTTTGCGATTTCTCTGAGCATTATATGGTCTGACCTTGGGGTGATATTACTGGGACACCCAATCCTGGGAAGATTGGCAACTGTCTTGAATGTTCTCTATTTGTAAATAATCCTTCACACTGTAGAATGACGGATTTCAAATTGTTTGGAAATGGCCTTATAGCCCTTCCCAGAGTTCATTGCTGATGTCTGTTTTCCTTGGCATGATGTTAACACACACCTGAATGCTCCAGACCATCAAACTGCCAAAAGTTCTGCTTTTATAGAAGTGGTCACACTTCCTGATGATCAACTAATCAAGTGCATTTGATTGGCAGCACCTGGCTCCTAATTACCTTCTTAATTCCTATGGAAGCAGTAAGGGTGTACTTAATTTTCCCCACATGATTTTTGCATTTTGGCTTACTTTTTGTTGAATAAATAATGACATAGTGAAATCTGTTATGTGTTGCCTTTTATCTGAGGTTGATTTGTCTAATTATAGACATTGTTGAGGACCAAACGATTGTTATTTATGCCCTGATATGTAAAACCACTGAATTAAAAGAGGGTGTACTTTCTTTTTCGCATGACTGTATAGTTAGAAATCACATACAAGTTTTGGGTTATGAATAATTATTTCACTTATTGACTAAACCGCTCAGTCAAATCCTGATTTTCACCAGTTTCGTAACCCCCCCATTTGTAACAATATATTCCTATAATGATTTCATATAATGTAAAGCTATTAATTAACTAGAAATGTGACATTTTGTACAGTCAATTTAGATAAAGTTGGTGGTTTTGATAAAGTGTGAGTTGGATTTTTTGGGAGGTAGCAGCCCACGAAATTTGCCAGGAATACCAGATTCCACAAGCGCACACTGCGGAGAAACATATTCCTGGGGTATCACATGATACCCCAGTGAGTGTGGCTTTTGGGGAGACAGACATGTATGGGGATACTATTGTGTGCAGATAACATGGATATGGTGATTTTTTCTTAAAATATTACAGGTAAAGAAAAAAACAAAGCAAACTGTTTCATTCCTCTCCCTGAGTTAGTTTATGTAATGCACATCAAGACAACATTCATAGGAAGAAGTAATTGCGGATTAACACCTCATTTCTCATAATTGCAATACTTAAGTAAACCTGAAATTCAGAACTGCGCGTTTACTATGCGCAAACAATGCTTGTAAGACACGTGTTTTGTTTTTGTTTGGGACATGCAAATACTTGTAATACTTACGTAAACCTGAAATTTAGAATCGCGGGTTACCTACAAACAATACGAAATGTGTGCACGAGCAGGCAGACACATCATACCTCCAATTCCCAGTGCACATGCACACTTTGAAAGGGGATACACATTTCCACAGCATACTGAATTCGGTACGACACCTCTAGTTAGCCAAATAAGGCAATTCTGTAAGTATAGTTTGAAGAGCTTCCTCGGTAAAAAGATGAGAAACAACAGCAGTGTTAACCGGATGGTTTTTGCAGACTAACTTTGGCAAGTAAACTGTCCTCTGTCAACAATGTATATATAAACAATATATTTTCTAAAAGCTAGTACCTTGCATCCCCGTATAGACTATACCATTGAACAATGGTTAAAAGTGCATTCTCTCTCTGGAGAAGAAAAATTGACTAATCTGAAATGAAACTTCATTTATTTCTTCTATACTGCTGTTGTTAGTTACCTTTTTCAGTTATAGGTATTTGTTGTCCGTAGTTGTACTTAATGGATTGAATCGAGTATGCCCTTCGAATTGACTGAATGGTGCCCAACAGTCTGTACATACTGAAGCACATCGGTGATCACCTTATTGTCAGAAGAACTAGCGTCACTTAAAAAGCGAGTTTTAAAAATATTTATCATCAAATTAACTGAATGAGTAAAACCCCGATTGATTGTCTGGTTTTGATATAGACCCGAGATCTTACTTGCGCAGCTGTTGAATTTTGTCCTGGTATTTGCTATAGAAAGGGTTTTCCTCCAGTTCCGGCTCCTTACGGACCGAAAAGGCTCGCAACTGCAACGGGGAAAACCCTGGGATAAGCGGTCTGATTCCCGTGTTTCTGACAGCCAGCATCCCCCGATACAGACAGGCCATCTGTACCACGGCGACCGCCATCTTGCCTTCTCCTCCGTCATACATCAATAGAACTCCGGTTAGGAGAAGAAAAGCAATAGCACAAAATCATATGTTCCGCTTTGACAAACGTGCCCCGTCTTTTTAAGGCTTTTGTGATCTTTCGTTTTAATGAAAGTGAAATAAATACCGATATGAAATGTATCTAATAAATATAAACAGGAACAATAATGTATATACTATACTATATAACACACAGTGTGTTTCTAAATTTACGTCGCATAGAACTGTTCGAAAAACTTGTGAAAAACTGTACCGTCAGAGGGCGAGAGAGAGACAATGAGACAGTGAGAGTCCCAGGGAACTACTACTGTATCTATACCGGTGTTTGCTTCCGCAAAAAACTACTAATTAATCACAAGCATTATTTAATTTTCTATTTAGGCATGTTTTATTTATTTTTTTCATTGAGCTCTTAAAACGTGGTTAAGGGTTTGATCTTGATAGTTCACGGGTTTTGAACATTCAGCTTAGCTAAACTAACAAATTGGACTTTAAACGGGGCAGCACGGTCGAGGAGTGGTTAGCATTGCTCTTTCGCAATGGAGACGAAATCCCTTCCTCCTCTGTCTCCCTTCTCATTCTTGGTTTCTGTATTTATGGTGAGGAATATTCTGATGAATACTAGTTTCAGTACTTTCCTAGGAGTGCTGGTGTCAATGATTTACTATTGTGGCGCATTCGCCTGGCGCTGCGGCCGAAAAGCGCCCGGCTGGTGTACGCGGCAGGACAGGAGCAGTGGTCAGGGCGGGGACGAGGAAGCCCCTGGACAGTGCAGCTCTGCAAAACGGGCGTACAGTGTGATGAGATCGCCCGCATTCTTGTAAACAGTTCCCTGGTTTCGCACCCCTGTTATACTTGTATCCAGTTGCCACCCTATCCCTGTGTCTACCCGAATAGACGCCAGTGTGTTGCTCTCGTTTCTCTCTGGCGCTTGCTTGTTTTTTCTCACTTTCAGTCTTTTTTTCTGCTGGCGCCCGGGCGTGGGAGTGCTATGCTGGCTGGACCGAAGTTCAATAAAAGCGCTGTTTTCTTCACTCAACGAGTGTCTGAGTCACTGACTCCGTCCTCGCCGAATCCGAAACTATTACACTATGAAATGAATTACCCTTAGTAAATCATTAGGAACATCCCTTGATGATCTGGGTTTACTTGCCTCCTGACAGAGGGACAACTAGGTAAATACCACCAAAGAATCATTGTTCCAAACCTTCTGAAACAATCGAGATGGGAGCCACAAACCGCCTTTCCCTAGTCATTATCTTTTTCATATCGAACACATGAAAGGAAAACTACTTAAGTGGGAGAAAATGTGATTGGCATCAATGTGAGAAGAAACAGAATTTTTTTGTAGGTCAAATAAGAACATGCTAATATCATACACAGATACTATAGTTCTAACTATAATCCTTTTTCCTGAATCTTCAAAGATATCCTGTCTTGATCACTAAAGACCAGATGCTCTAACAGTCGAGGATGCTACTAACCTCATTCTCCACTCCATTTGGAAAAAATAAATTCCTAAGCTTGTATTCTTTTTTTGGATTTTAGTTTGGTCTTCAACACCATTAACACACAAAAAATATTTAATAAACTGCTGGATTTGAACGTCAACTGTACTATGTGTCATTAGATTCTTGAATTTTTAATGTATTGCAAACAAACTGTCAAAGTGAATAACAAGACAGCTTGCCCTCTGAATCTTAGTATGGGCTCTCCCCAGGGCTGTGTCCTATCTCTGTGGCTTTTCCCCCCTTTTTACAAACAACTTTATATAACTTGACTTGGAGAAGATTTTTAAAATATGCAGATGATACTAGTATTGTTGGTCTCATCTCTGATAATGATAAGACTCCATACTGATAGGTGACTGACTGGGGAACAACCTGGTGTTCTGATAATAAGCTTCAACTAGGGAAATCGTTATTGATTTTAAATGTGTCCAGTGCATAAAACTCCCCATCATTAATGACCGCCCCATCCTACAGTGACCACAAATTTCTTTGAATTCTTGGGAACACATACAGTATAAATGAACACCTTAAATGGAGCACCAAACAAAGATCAAATAGTTAAGAAGGCACAGCAGAGGATCTGCTTTTTCAGGCAACTTAAGAAACGTAAGTGGTCTGCAGTATAAACAGAGCTGGCAAGATGGTAGCGGGGAATGAAGAACCCTTACTAGAAAGAACTGGACTGAAAGACCTGTGCAGTCTTGTTAAAACCTGGAAGTAGTAAGTAATATATTTCCATGCACATTTATACAAGCATCAGATATTCCTAACAAATGCTTTAAATTCATTGCCATTAAGCCCTGAGTAACCAAAAATCTCAAACACATACACATACTCCAGAAAAAAGAAACTTGCCTTTTCTCAAGAGAATACAGAGCTTAGGATGTAATGTAGAAAGAGGTGTAAAGAGAAAGATATCTATCTAGACTTTTATTGATCCCAAAGAGAAATTGAGGGACTGGGCTGCTGTAACAGTATTCCACTTTCTTCATAAACATCTTCTGCATTAAAGTCTTTAACATAGTCGTGCTATGGGTATTTTGGAAAAGTTTGATTGTGTTTGTTTATAAAGTTTGTCTATAACATTTTAACTTTTTCCATGAACACTTGCTGTCATTATTTTTGTAAATAATAATGAAATGCTTGTAGAAACAAGGTTTTTAATGAAACTTAGTTGTTTTTAATTTAGCCAATTCAAACAAGGTAACAGTTCTTCACCCTGCCCTGGAAGTTCCTGGGTTCAATTACTGCTCAATGGATGAGTTGTACTTCTAAAACATGAAGACTCTGCATGTATACTATATTGGTATTTTTACTAATTTTGTATATCACAGTATGTTCAATATTAAATTAATATTGAAAATAAAACTAACTGTAACAGACAGTTCTTTCAGGACCCTATGCGGACTACACAATCCGACGAAGTGGGGAAACATCATGCAGGAATACGGGGCTGAAGACAGGGGGGCGTGTCCAAGGTGCGCTGGTGCACGGGGGAGGTGTGGCCGAAGCGAACAATCCCAAAGAGTAATCCTTAGAGTATCCAAAAACACAC